TTGGAGCTTTTCAGATCTTTTAGGAATAGTGGCCCCACTCTTAGCCAGACCTGCCTTCATGCCATCTCATTAGCACAACCTTTCCCATATTAAAAAAAACCAAAAAACTAACTTGACTATGGCAATCCCATTGTTTTTTTTTTTCTTTTTTTTTTTAGCACAGGGTTCATAGGAGAGTCACATATTGACTTTTTGAGTCTCTGAATCTTTAGAGTCCACTGTTTTCAGGAGATTTTCAAAGCAATCTATCATCCCCACTTATGAACTACTCCTCTAAATAATGTTATATTTTCTCCTTTTTTCCACAGTTGAAAATCCTGCAGTATTGATTATAAAGACTGTTTTCACTACCTATACACTAATAACTTGACTCTTAAGTCTGATACAACTCCCAAGTAAAAGCAGAAAATTTACAGGCACCCAAAACAAAGACTGTGAAAGTGCCACAAAAATGAATGGGAATTAGAGACACATGGGAAAGTCTGTTGTCAAAACAAATAGTCCACAGATTCAAAAACAGGAGAATTAATAATTAAGGGGCAAGAGATAAAAAGTGATCCAAAAGAAAAGCAATTGAGGTATATGTTTAAATATCCAAAGATACAGTACTCTTAAAGGAAGAAGTACTCTTAAAAATTTGGAAAATATGTGAAACAGTAATAAGCCAATCTGAATATAAACCAAGTAAAAATTCAAGAATAAAAATCTCAAAAGATTAGCTAAACAGGAAATTATATAGCTAAAGAGAGAATTACTGAATGGAAGATATCACTCAGATCACAGAATAATAAAAAGATGAAAATATAAAAAAGATAAAGGAAATAAAAGTAGAAGTTTTAAGTGTAGTTTAAAAATCTGTTATAATGACTGTGGGGAGACAGAGGCAGGAGGATCTTGAGTTCAAGCCCAGTCTGGGCTACATAGCAAGACCCTGTCTCAAAAATACCAAGGACTGGGATGGTAGCTCAGTGGTAGAGTGCTTGCCTGGTATGCACAAGGCTCTAGATTCCATCCCAGCATGAAAAAAAAAGATAAAATC